AAAGGGGATAAAAAAAATTACACCAAGACTCTACACATTCTGCAGATGACACAAAAACATACACTGTGCTCACTAGGAAATGCTAAATGCTAAATCAGTGAAGAAAGAGTAAAGGGCTATACTCCTTCTTTGCAAATAAAATACATACATGTGAGTATAAGATACAATACATATATTCACACATGACATAAATTTATTGAAAATATCAGGAGCATTGATTTTTTTTCCAGTACTGAGAATAAAGATGTAACTACAGTGTAGAAAACATGGAATAACATCCTAGAATGGCTTAAGTTGGAAAGGACCTTAAAGATCATCTAGTTCTAACCTTCTGCCATCAGCAGGGTTGCCAACCACTAGATCAGGCTGCCCAGGGCCTCATCCAACCTGGCCTTGAATGCCTCCAGGGATGAGGCAACCACAACTTCTCTGGGCAACCTGTTCCAGTGTCTCACCACCCCCTGGGTGAAAAATTCCCTCCTATTATCTAACCTAAATCCTCCCTCTCCAAGTTTCAAACCATTTCCCCTTGTCCTGTCACTATCTGCCCATGTAGAAACTGGCTCTCCCTCCTGGTTTTATAAGCTCCCTTTAAGTACTACAAGGCTGCAATGAGGTCTCCCCAGAGCCTTCTCTTCTCCAAGCTAAACAAGCCCAGCTCCCCCAACCTTTCTTCACAAGAGAGGTGCTCCAGCCCTTTGATCATCTTCATGGCACTCCTCTGGACCTGCTCCAACAGCTCAATGTCTTTCTTGTGTTGGAGGCTCCAGGCCGGGGCACAATACTCCAGATAGAGCCTCACAAGGGCAGAGCAGAGGGGGACAATCCCCTCCCTCAACCTGCTGGCCACCCCTCTTCTGATACAGCCCAGGATACAGTTGGCCACATTCACTGTCCTCCATGCATGCTCCATTTTGGTCCCTATTGACTACACCAGGAACACACTGAAAGCAGAAGAAAAGCACTTGTAGGAAGACAAAAGCACCTCACCTCCTGTCGCCCGTCGGCAGAGGTAAGCAAGACCGGGCGACCTATGCACAGGTTTGCAGACTTCATGCTGCTCAGTGACAGCTGGACGAGGACTCTTCGCAGCATTTTGGGAACTTTGTCATCTCCTAATATTTCCAGGGGAAAAAAAAATACATCTTTTTTTACTATTTATCAGACAAATTCAGTATTTCTTGCGCTCCCCCATCAGCACAACGAACAAAACCCTTCCAAGCCCTGAGGGGCGGCGGTGCCCAGCCCTGAGGGCAGCGCCGGGACCCTCCCGGGGGAAAATGGCGCCGGGAGGGGACGGTGCTTCTGACGGGCCCCAGAACACCCGCGGGTACCCGCTGCTCTTTGCTGGGTTCTCCACCCAGTTTCAGCTACCAGCGGGACCTTTCGGCGGCCGGCATCGCTCTTCGA